CACACACACACACACACACACAGAGAGAGAGAGAGAGAGAGAGCTCACCCTTGGGGAACTCCTAAAAGAACTTGTCTGCAAAGAAAGATAAGCAAAGTGAATATTACTACATCGAGAAAACCAAGCACATAAGCATTTTATAATTATTACACATTATATCCTTTGAAACCCACCATCCACCCACCCACCTCAAAATCCAATTCTCTCCCCATTTCTATAGTTCACCACTTATATTGACCAAAAAATCTCATTTTCTTTCCACAAAAGCTCCAATCTTTGCAATCGTCATCGTAAAGAAAGCTCCAACTCTTCCCTCCAATCATGAAACATGGTCATAAGCCACAAAAACCATCATGATACAATAAACATGCATCAATTGGCAATAACCCAATAGGGCCCCAAACACAAAAACATCACAGAATAGAACAAAACAAATCCTAAGATCACCTAATCCATTTTCTTAACCCCCTCAAACAATCAAGATAACCTAATAAATGATCGAAGTAAAAGCACCGACATTCTCAGCACAATACTAACAAGAACAAAAGAGACCTCCCGCCTGTCAAATTTCCCATTTTTTACCTTTTAGGACATAAACCTAATGAAATACAAAAATGGTTCTTACAGAATCCCAGTGGGTACGCTTTTTGCGCTCCAAAACAGGGGTGCAGTGAAAAAAACGCGCCCCAGTATGAAAAGGATTGGCTCCAAAACCAATTTTTGCTGCAAATCTACTGGCCTTATTCATTTCTGCAAATCATTCTGATGAATACATATGATGAAATGAATGAACAAATCAATCAAGTGAATCCCGTTTGTCCTTCGTTTTTATTTATTTCCAAGTATTGGTAGAAAAGAATGGTGACCCTGAAGTGAAGGACGGACTGAAAAAAGGAGCTGAGTCAACTCGGACAGGGAAACAACATAACGGGTTGGGCCTTGTTATTATCTTTTGGACTTAAATTTTATGGATGCCTAATGTGTAATGGGTCATTGAGCAGGTGTGCTAATGTGTAATGGGTTTCGTCTTGGATAGTTGATGCTAAGTTCTAATATCTAATAAGAAAGATGAGAAAGAGGAAAAAAAATAGTTAATCATACAAATATGTAAATGATAGCAAACATTAATAGTTTATTTGAGTATCAAAATTATGAGAGATTCTACGATTCTGTTACGAAACCGATAAACACGCGAAACTTCGATTCGGACAAGAATCGACACGTGTCTTTGGGTGTGGTCGCCACGTGCGCACGTGGGCGCCAGAGTCTCCATACTGCTGGGAATGGGAATGTTGAAGTGGAAATATAGACCTTTTATATCATTTGCATTTAGTTAATTAGCTCTTCTAAATAAATAATGTTGGCAACTTTGGCTCACCACCGGCCACTCGTCCCCACACCAAGCAGAGAAAAAGAAAAAGAGATAAAGGTGCACAACAAAAAAGTAGACTAAAATTTGATTTCTTTTGGGGGGGACTTATATTAGCGTGTGGACCAAAACACCCTTGGGTCAAAAAAGAAAAAGAAAAAACACAAATTCTGGTATGTTATGCATGCATATGAATAGTCGATGATAACTTATATTCCCTCCTATTCATAATAATCATCGTTTTGAAAAGTTGCACAGTAATTAAGAATATTTTTTTTCCATAACAACCCTATCTAATAAAGATAGATATAAATGTTTTGAAAAAAGGTAAAAAGTGAATATGAAAATACGTAATATATTTATTAGCTAAATGAGAATAATAATGAAAAAATATGTTCAAAATATCCAAAACAATATTTATTTTGTTAATAGTTGATAAAGTCAAAATGACATTTAAAAAGAATAGGAGGTAGTACTTTTATACAAAAAGGGAATTTGATAGTTTATTTTTAAATAGTATGAAGTTAATCAAAAAATTCGAATACAAAATGGAATTTGATAGTTTACGTACAATACCTAAGATTGTGTATTGTAGGAATAGACAACATAAGGAATGAATATTGAACCTAAAAAAATCTTGTTCGAAATTATTCCAATCTAATTGAGTTATGCCATCAAGATTCCTATTATTTTAAATGTCTACCTCAAATTATAAAAGTTACAAATCATTTTATGTCAATATTTAGTTATTTATTTCAACTCAAATTATTTATTTTATTTAACTCAAATCAAGATTCCTATTATTTATTTTAAATGTCTACCTCAAATTATTTAAGAGACCTGGATGAGATGACTTGAGTCTCTTTCAGCTTAATCAGTGGTCTCGTGTTCGAGCCCTGGAATGCAGCAGTGTTAAAACTCTTGAGGGAGAGCTTTGCCGCCCTTGTGGTCCTACCCAACTCGATTCCGGATTAGTCGATTTTCCTGTGGATCCGGAAATCGGAAGGTCAATGTACCAAAAAAATATATATATATATTTAGTTATTTATTTCAACTATGCTATAGTACCAAGTTTCAATATAATTTATTATTCACCACACCAAATTGTTATTATTTATTTATAAATGACCTCCAAAAGAGAAGGGCATATCCGTCATTACAAGCTAAGTACATGCAAAAGCCAGCCAGCTATATCATATATCCACCATCAATTTGGAGCTGTCGTGGGCACCACAACCCACGAGATTCAAATCATAACAATCCAACGGCTCTGATCTTTGCAAGCCTGAATTTGAGGTTCATTTGGGGTGAATTTCATTTGAGGCCGAATTTCACTTGCCTTGTTTTAAACAAGAAGATAGCGGGCACCTCAAAGAGACACTTGGGGAAAAAAAAATCTGAACGCAGACTGCATTTCACTCGCTGCAAGAGTGAAAACCTAAGAAAATCAGATAAAGAGGGAGACCCATTTCGAACAAGGCCTTAAAGGTACGATCTTTGGCTTGAATTTTGTTTTTTGTCTACTCAATATTGTCTTTGGTATGCTTCCCTTTTCATTTTCTGTACTGTTTACTGATTATTTTTGTGATATATATTTTTTTTTTTTTTGATCGAGCTATTTATGCATCTTATGAATATGATTTTTGGATCTACAAGTTATATGGATCAGTTCTGTTATGCCCATATTCAAGAATTTTGAAATGATGTTCTGATTTGGTGTAGTAGTCATGTGATGTCCAGTGTTCTTACTGGTGAATATATGTGTTCTTGATTTGTGCGAGATCTCTATTAAGATCGGAGAATGTTATGGACTAGTTCGATAGCCTTTAGAGGTGAGTAGAAATGAGTGATTTTTGGATTTCAAGCTAGATGGATCAGTTCAATTATGCCTAAATTCAAAAAATTATAAACGATAATCTGATTCGGTGAAGTGCTCATGGGATGTGAGTGGCTGATTACTGTTGAATGTTTGTGTTCTTGGTTTGTGCAAGATTTCGAGGTGAAATATATGAGGAGATTTGTGAGAAAAGAGTGATCTTTTCATTTGATGTATTTCTGATGATGGTATTACGAGACGCATTACAGTGGAACTCAATTGATGTTCTTGATCAAATTCTAACATGAGATTTCGATCCGAATAGCTTTAGATGCACGACTTACTTTCGTTTTATTCTATTAGCATCTCCGTGAAAAAATTAAGATGATATGAGAAATAGAGAGATTGTTATGTTAATATGTTTCCTAGCTTGTCTTTTTAATCTTGATCTGACCATTTAAGATACTTTCCTCTTTATTTGCCCTTTTTTGTCCACAGATCATTAAGAGATGGCAGAAGCAGAAGATATTCAGCCTCTTGTTTGTGACAATGGCACTGGAATGGTTAAGGTAAAACTTATTAATTATACGTAATTTCATACACCTTTAAATTAAGTTGTGGTTGCTTGACAATTGACATTTCCTCTCGATTCTTTTGATTCCGTGATTTGGTGTGTAGAATCTGATATGAGTGAAGTGGATGCAATTGAGTTTGTTTAGTGGAATAGTAAAGGGTATATGATTGAAAGCGTATATGAATAATAAGATTATCTCATCTTATTACTAAGATTTCGGAAGCTTAAATTTATTTATTGATTGATTTTTTTTATTCATGATCATTAAACTTCCAGGCAGGATTTGCTGGAGATGATGCTCCAAGGGCTGTCTTTCCCAGCATAGTGGGCCGTCCTCGTCACACGGGTGTAATGGTCGGTATGGGCCAAAAAGACGCATATGTGGGTGATGAGGCCCAATCCAAGAGAGGTATCTTAACTCTGAAGTACCCAATTGAGCATGGAATTGTGAGCAACTGGGATGACATGGAGAAGATTTGGCATCACACTTTCTACAACGAGCTTCGTGTTGCCCCTGAGGAGCATCCGGTCCTCTTGACCGAAGCTCCTCTTAACCCAAAGGCCAATCGTGAAAAGATGACTCAGATAATGTTTGAGACTTTCAATTCCCCTGCCATGTATGTTGCTATCCAAGCTGTTCTCTCCCTTTACGCCAGTGGCCGTACAACTGGTAAGGAAAAAAGAAAAATAAAATAAAATAAAATAAAATGTACTCTTTTTCATGACCTTCACTTGTCTTGGCAGGTATCGTTCTCGACTCGGGTGATGGTGTCAGCCACACTGTCCCCATCTACGAAGGGTACGCCCTCCCACACGCAATCCTCCGCCTCGACCTAGCTGGCCGAGACCTCACAGACCATCTCATGAAGATACTCACAGAGAGAGGATACTCTTTCACCACCACAGCCGAGCGCGAAATCGTGAGGGACATCAAAGAAAAGCTCGCCTACATCGCCCTCGACTACGAACAAGAGCTTGAAACCGCAAAAACGAGCTCGGCCGTTGAAAAGAATTACGAATTGCCAGATGGACAGGTCATCACTATTGGTGCCGAACGATTCAGGTGCCCGGAAGTCCTTTTCCAGCCATCCATGATCGGAATGGAAGCTTCCGGAATTCACGAGACTACTTATAACTCTATTATGAAGTGCGATGTGGATATCAGGAAGGATCTTTATGGAAACATTGTGCTGAGTGGTGGGACCACCATGTTCCCGGGCATTGCTGACCGGATGAGCAAAGAGATCACGGCCCTTGCTCCGAGCAGCATGAAGATTAAGGTGGTGGCCCCACCCGAGAGGAAGTACAGTGTCTGGATTGGAGGATCGATTTTGGCATCCCTTAGTACCTTCCAGCAGGTATTTATAAAATTTTCCTATATACATTTCAAAATTTGACACAGATAAATTGATTCTTTTGTAATTTTTTTTTTTTCTTTATGTTTGGGAGTTTCAAGAATTCGGCTCGGCTGATTGTTGTTGTTGTTGCAGATGTGGATAGCAAAAGCCGAGTACGATGAGTCCGGGCCTTCGATTGTTCACAGAAAGTGCTTCTAAAACAACACCTGCAGGAAGGAGATTTATATATATCCATGCTTTGAGTTGGTGATGTTTCTCATTTGTTTTTTTTGGTTTTTTTTTTTAATTATTATTTTTTGTTGTTTCTTTTTATCTTCAGTTTTAATGAGATTTGAACAATGGACATGCAGGGAATATGATCTTGTGGGAATATTTTTTTTTT